TCAGCCGGTCCTATGCTCACGTGTGGTAAGCACCGTTGGCTCTCGTGCCGGAAGGTTGCGGCCGGGTGCCTGCTATGTCCACCTTTCTCAGATTCGTGTCCTTGCAAAGGACCAGGGCCTCCTTGAGCCCTGAAGCCTTACTTCGCGGTTTTTTTTGGGGCAGACGGCCAGTGCAGGACTTTTTTCTATGGAGGCCATTGAGCTACGCCAGTCTCGTCCTCGGAGTTTCAGGTGAGCGGAGAAGAGTGTGGTCAGCACAAGAGACAGATAAGCAGGTCTGTGCGGCTCCTTTCACTGTAAGATGCGTCTGCTGTAGAGGCTAGCTACTTCGATCAAAAGTAGAAAGTGTCATAGACTAGTTTATCCTACCATGAAGACTCGAATGACACTATGATGGCATGCGTCGTCTTCATGCACATATGTGTGTGAGATTAGACATATTGTATATATATATATATATGTATCTATATATATATATATATATATATATCATACATATATATATATATATATATATATGTATACATGCACCATGTATGCACTCATCTTATGCATATGTACAGGCCTACCTGATTGCATTCGCATGTACCATTAGTCTATAAGCCACATATCACATTTGACATTTCCGTGCCTGATCATTGAACATCGAAAATCCGAGAGAGAACTGGGAACACATAAAATGGACTCTTTTTGTTTTGCAGTTGTTCGAGGGTTTGTGCATTTACACATGCCTCGTGGCAAGCTGAAATGACATCAAATGATCACAGCACATCACATTCGACATTTTTTCTTTGCTTCGAAGAACAGTGAACATCGAAGATCCCAGAGAAAACTGCTCCAGCATTCGCTCATTTGTGGTTGTGTTTCTTGCGGGGGGCCTTGGGTGTTTGGACACGCCTCGATGACAATCAGTGTCAACGTCATTTGGGCTTAATATCATCAGAACTATGGGGAAAAGTTACTACTAAGGTCTCTACAGTGTAATGTTCAGTGTAATGTTCATGGTTAACAGTAAGTTTACAACCAGGCTTTCAGGGTGACCATTGATGCAGTTGGTGGGTCTTAGGACCTTAGGGTTTACTTCACGTTGTGTCGAATTATCGTAGGGGTAGCCACGTTTATGAGTTCTCCTATTCAGGCTTTAACTGTAAACCTTAGGATTAATGTATGGATTGCACCTGGTGTGAGAGGTATCAGCATTGGCAGCAATGAGTAATGCCATTGGTGGGTTAGATTGGCATGAATGAACAAGTTTAAAGGGCTTGCCGCTAGGGCCGCTCTGGGCTTGCGATTGAAGATAGCATGCGATTTGCCACAAGTGTTACCTGTAGGGTCATATCATGTGGCGGTAGTTGGGCCACACTTTGGTCCCTTGTGAAACTAGGCCTCAACAAGTTTCAATATTGTGTCTACTCAAGTCAGCACGGTGCTCAAGGGCTTGCGGGTGCAAATTTTGCATTCAACATGTAGTTGCCGTGGGGTTCAGTACTTGTATCTGGGTTAGTAGGCGCAAGTGATTGCATCGGACTGTTCAGATTGATATATAATACAAGTTAATTTGGATTCCCCCACATATTCGGATGAGACGACATGTTCAATCTTAGGTGATGTTTGCTCGGAACACGAAACGGTTTATGCTGACGGGCAAAATTGGGGTTTAGGTCGAACTTGACAACAAACTCGGATATTTCTTTTTGTTTATGGTGCTGGGAATCATAGTCTCAGTTTATGAGGTAAAAGCCTCATGAGATGGCTCCAGTAACTTTAGCAATTCGGATTGCCTCAAGCTCTGGGGTGGCGGACCTCGCGCGAGCACTGGAGCGGTTTGCTAACACGTATAAGAGATAAAAGAGACTTGTACTTGGGTGATACAGTAGGAAAGGATATTCAAAGCAAAGACAACTTGACACTGATGATAGAGATCATGGGCTCAGACACGCAATTCATAGGTTTCTTGCAGAAAAGTTCGGAGGCAGGCTTTACGGAGATGGCATATACACATACATATTGTATGTATACATGCACACATATGCAAACACACACACACACATACACATATGTGTGTATATATATATATAACACACGAAGATAAGTGAATACCATCATGTGCATTGCAAGCAATATGAATCTGCAATCGCATTTTTTTGGTAGTCGTGGTGGTGGTTATGGTGGTGGTGGTCGGAGTAGTGGTAGCAGTAGTAGTAGTAGTAGTAGTAGTAGTAGTAGTAGTAGTAGTAGTAGTAGTAGTAGTAGTAGTGGTAGTAGTAGTAGTGTAGTAGTAGTAGTAGTAGTAGTAGTAGTAGTAGTAGTAGTAGTAGTAGTAGTAGTAGTAGTAGTAGCAGTAGCAGTAGCAGTAGCAGTAGTTGTAGTAATAGTAGTAGTAGTAGTAGTAGTAGTAGTAGTAGTAGTAGTAGTAGTAGTAGTAGTAGTAGTAGTAGTAGTAGTAGTAGCAGGAGTAGTAGTAGTAGTAGTAGCAGCAGTGGCCGTGGCAGTAGCAGTAGCAGGAGCAGTAGCAGTAGCAGCAATAGAAGTAGGCGTTGTGGTGGTGGTAGTGGCCGTCGTTGTTGGTTGTGGTGGTGGTGGTGGTGGTGGTGGTGGTGGTGGTCGTGGTAGCGTGCAGCAAACTCTGCAACATCATAAATAAGAATGCCATGTGCCAGTCAAAGATATGGCGGCAAGGAGCTGTTTGTTGCTCAAAATGTTGGCTTCAGATCCACCGTACTGCTGTAATGTTTTGACTACGTGAGGAATGAACATCGAAGACCACAGCCTCTCCAAGGGCTACATCCCGGCCCTGTGTGCTCGGAAGCAGATGCTTCTGCGTGAGATGCTAGCCGATAGTGCGTCACAGTGCTAAGCCGTCAGGAAAGTTTGCTTGTCACGATGGAGTCTCTTCAGCCTGATGGTCAATGAGGTGCTGCCTTCGATCCTGTTGTAGCCGGTGGACTCTGGGATGAAATGGGGCAGACGCTCGTTGACGAGGACATGGGACTGCGACTGTATTGCAGAAGCAGAGTCGAAGTACCGACTAGAACCTCTTGATGCAGGCTGGGCACGGCCTGATGTGATCTTTCCGAGACCGCGCGCACCGGCACGACATGTGGTTGAGCTATCGGAGAGTCGCAGCTCGGAGAAGATCTCCCGGAGTTCCGCGAAGCCTCCCCTGCCGTGGTCATGGACTTGTGGACGATGTGAGGGCGTTCGCTCCCAGTGCTAGAGCATCTGCGGTGCAGAAGGCGCATCTGCAAGTCGACGCCGCAGCGACCGTGGACTGCCTTCTCCTAAGAGACGGCTGCGACAGTCGGCGGCAGAACAAGCTTCTCGGCCTCTGCTCGTACTCCGTTGAACATGCTCGTCCTTGCCGCATTGATCCGCATTGCCCTTTTTCTCGTCGGAGCTTATTTCAGCCTCCAGAGCACGTGCTCGATGCACTTCCAGATACTTCTAGCTTCCAACATCCTCAGTTCTCAAAGCCGTTAGATGCATGACCAGCCTTTTCAGTCATGCCTGAGCTGCCCAACAGACCCCGCAAGATCCCACAGCTTCAACTGGATTAGAGCCCTGCCATGGCGGCTCTATGGCGTTCAGTGCCTTCCAGGCCTGTAGCTTTGCCATCGCTGTTCGAAGAAAGGACATTGGAGATGTCCGGCTTCTATTCGACTGGCTGTCAGGGACTGCAATCCCCCTTGTAAAGAACATGGTGGTGGCAACAGCTAGATGAGTTTCCCAAAGCTGCAGGTTTGTTAGGACTTGTGATACGTAGCTTCATCAAGATCTACATGCTGAAGTGTTGATGTAGTGTAGAGTTGACGTGCAAGCCATGGATGCAAATGCACCGTCGACAAGCAGGAATGATAGCCGCTCGGATCTCTTGTGTGTGCTTTGGTTGGTCGCGTTGGTCCATCTGAAAGCGAGAGTGTTCGAGCTCGAAGGTTCGAGAGTTTGAGAAGTCCGATGGATAGAAATTTCTGTTATTCAGAAACGTGTTAGAGGTCGATAGTTTGGGCACCCTGCTATGCACAAGTAAGCAGGCGTCAAACGTCTAACCTTTCAATCTCGGGACTTTCGAAGATTCAACAATTGGAACTATCGAGCTCGACTATCTGCTTCGAACTCAGCTTGAGCCGGGGACGCGTTCCATCGGCTCTCAACGACTGAGTTCTTGAAAAATTCGAGAGTTTCGAGTGTGAGAGTTCGACAGTTCGCGAATCTTTAACCTTCGACAGTTCAATTGTTTCGAGTTTCAATGTCTGACGGTTAGTCACGTTCTGTGACCACAGACCTCGTCGGGCATCGCTTAGGCGTGAGGTTTGTAACCCGAGCCCTCATTTGGCGATGCCGGCTGAGCACTTTTCTTCAACTTCCCTCCCTTCGATGGTGCTTAATCAGATTTCTTGCACCTTGGCCCTCCTTATACGAAGACCGACACGCAAAGCACGAGAGCACCTCTGAAACTGAAGCTTTCCATCTTTCAAGTTCTCAGGTCCTAAGGTTTGCATCTCTGAAACTTCAAAGCGTTAGGACTCTCAAGCTCCGTGCCTTTCAAGTTTTCTGCCTTTCGAAGATTGAATAGCTGATTCTTTCGAAGTCTCAGACGTTCAACCTTCCAAGCTTTCCACCCCTGAACCTTTCAGATCTTCAACGTCTTGAATTTTGAGCTTTGTATCTTGGACTCCTCAAGCCTTAAACTCCAAGCTTTCAACGTCGAAACTCGAGCCTGCGAAGGTCCGATTCCTCCACCCCGCGTCCGTCGCACGGCGTGTCGTCGCGGCTTCCAACTTTTCTTCAAAACTGCTTGTTCAACGGGTTGAACTGCAAAGTCGTCCTGTTTTCGATCTCAAATCTTAAATCTCGCCAATACTCAAACTCCCCCATATCGCTTTCCATCTGATACGATACGTTCAATCTTTCAGAGAATCGAGATCGACAAGCCCTACTCGTGACAGATCTCTGACTGTTGCAGCAGCTCAGGTAGGGCGATCCGCCGCAACTTCCAGCTAATGACTTGGACCTTCAGTTTGAATCATGCCACTGTGACGACGCTGATGATGTACGCAAGCTCAGCCGCATGCTAAGTTTCTCTGATGGGATTGAGGGTGCCTCGAACTGACCCTTGTCCGAAGGTTCTGGGCCACTCCACAGGAAACCTCTCAAACTCCTTGCTCTTCGCCGCGCGGCGCTTTGCGGATGTTCGTGTCTTCGGGGCTCTGGCCTCTCGGCTGAGCCGCGGCTTGAGGTGAGCCTCGTGGCCTCCCTGGGCCTGGCCCCGGTGATTGCTAGCACCTTCGGGCCGACGAGAGGCGCGGTTCGTAGCGCTTGCTCCTCTCTGGCGGACGTTCTTTGTTTTCAGGTCTTCTAATCGGCCTCGTCGGTTGCAGCGCCTACGTGCTCTTCTTCGTTCTGGCTGCTTTTCTATGTACCTGGGAGACGGGGCAGCCAGGACATCCAGGAGGTGGCCTGCCTCTTGCTCCTCATCTTGCTCTCTTGCTGCCCAGCCGCCAAGAGCTGCACGGTGAGGCTGTGGCTGTGACAGTAGCACGCCGAGAGGTCTTGTTTTCGAAGCTCGGCAGCAGTTCAGCAGGCAGCTCTCTTTGTCTTGGTCTCCTGGCAACAAGGTCGGCGCGGCCTTCGGCGGGCTGGGGGCTGGCATCCTTTGGCCCAGCCAAGGGGCCTTCTTCTCTGCCGCGGCCGGGGCCTAAAGTGGAGTCTGAGTGGTTGTTGTGTATTTTCACGATATCTGCGCGCAGGTGGCGTGCCTTGCCGAGCCACAGCCCCAGGAGCAACCAGGACAAGTCGGCGGAACCATGGAGGCTCCGCTTCGAAGCGGCCCTTGCCCTTGCTGTCGCGGCGCGGCGTTCTGTCGCGAACATCGCCAGGAGTCCGAGGCCGCTAAGTGCCGCCTGACCAGCGAGCTGTCGTCGTCCTTTGCCTTCGCTCTGATGGTGTCAGACGCCTGCCTGGAAATTTGAGCTTCATTGCATCGTTGGATTCTACTAGTTGCCCTTATCGGCGTCTCCAAGGAGTGCAGCACCAAACTGCTCCTCGCAGACCCTTGGCTCACCATGAGCCAAGCGAAATGAGTCGTAGCCACTTCAGCCCGAGTCGCACTCTGCTGGGCTGGGAGGCTGGGAGCTCTTGTCATTTTGGCTACCCAAGGTCTTGCTCACCTACGTGCTACTTTTCAGCAGCTGCGGTGGTAGTGGGTCGCTGCCAAAGCAAAGTGCAAAGAACCACTTCTGCATCTCTAAGGAGGGTGGAGGTCTGGTCGTCCTGGGTGTTCCTTTCCGCACTGGTCGTCGCCTTGCTGGAAGCCTGACTGCGAACAAGTCGAAGTTTTTTTGCAGACTTCCTCAGCCAGACAGACTGCAAGGCCATGGCCGTCTTCGCCGCCTTCGCCGCGCGCATGGACACGTGTTCTTCGACCGCTGCAAGGACTCGCCTGGATTCCGGGATTGTCCCTCGGTTGAATGCCACCCTCCTGACGTGCGTGAGGCCGATCTGCGAGAGGACACTGACAGGGCTACGGCTTTGGAGTGATCCCAAGCTCTGGCCGCTCGGAGCAGCGAGCCCTTGGGCCCTTAGCCCTGAAGTTCTCATACCTTGCTCAGGCTGTTGTCCATGACCAACTTCGCCTTCGGTGCCTTGGTGATGACCGTGCCTGTCCTTGTGCAAAGGCTTTGCAATCGCAGCCGAGGTTTCTCTGTCCCGTGCTCAGTTCAGCGCCAGATGGCTCTCATAACTCGGCGAGTTGCAGGTCGCTTGGGTTAACGGCGTCGTGAATACGCGCTGGCACGAGGCACCAGGATTGACAAGTCCTCTTGTGCGGTGAATGGAGATCCCTCAGGCAACAGGGGATCTGCATTTGCTTGGCTACGCTGGTGCTCTCACAACCGGTGTTGCTGGAGCTCCTCGTCCAGGATTCAATGCAGTCACCTGCCAGAAATTCACTCTGTATTCTGCAATGCTGAGGTTATATCAAAACTTTCCGTTGGGCCGGTTGCCTGCGGCAAAGGCAGGCCCCAAAGCGTACGGATTGATGCTTTATTGATCATGTGGATCTGAGCTACGGGATGCTCCCATGGCAGATTGAAGGTAAGGCGCAGAGTGCTCCTTGCCTTGCTGCGCACACGTTCACTCCAGGCTATGTCCTCGCCCTGGGATCTCTCTGCTTCTTGACCATTGGCTTGCTGAGTATCCAGCTGCAAAGGGAGTTCTGCAAGATAGCGCGAGGAGTTTCTACAGGGGCATGTGTGCCACGAGCTGTAGTGACTGCAGTGAAGTCTGCTCGAAGTGCTACGAGTAGTTGGTTCCGTCCAGAACTTCTCTTCAGATAAAGCTCTTTTTGGACAACGGGCGAATGTAGCCGCACCCAAGGTAAGACTCGCGAGCCAACCGACAGTTTTGGCTGGAGCCACTTGGTGTCAGCCCTGTTGGCCACTCCAGCGAGCATAGCCGTGTGAATGTGTCGTCTGAACAGCAGGAGGGTTCCCTCGTCGCCACGAGCCTAGAACAGAGGTGTTTGGCTCCTGCTAATCCATGTCCTGCATGGCGTGGGTCGAGGACAGACTGCTCAGAAGTTTTACGCACCCCTTCTTTCCGAAAACTCCCGTGCGTTGCTGCTTGCGAGTGAGGAGTCTATGAAGGGACCAACAAGGAACCGCGGCGTTAAGGTCTCCAGCCGCATGTGTGGAAAAATGTTTGCCGCAGGGAATCTTCGGCGACTTCTTCGGTGATGACAGGAGCGTCGGTGCCTTCTCCAATGTGCTTGCAGTGGGCTTAATCGCTTGCATGCACGTGATCCGAGCTCGACTCTTGCACGTGACGAAACATGCTTGCTTGAAGGTCCAGGTCTCCGCGTCCTCGATTGTTGGGTATTCGTTGGCATCAACTAGCTGGAAGGCAGGGCATCTGCTGTGAGGCATCTCAGCTCCATGGAGGAAGCTGTGTCTTTGTGTCAGGACGCTGTGCTGCTGGGCAGCATCTGCGCCCGCTTCCCAAAAGCCTGTGATTTCTGCAGCGGCAGGTACGGCCTTCTGATGATCTCTGCATCTTTGATGCTGCCATTATATGTGTTGGCCGGTCGGTTGAGATGCCCGAGGATATCCAGTGTGCGGCAACAAGCAGGTGGCAGGCATAAGATGATGGAGCGAACCAATCTTGCACTTCTGCAGGACCGTCTCCTACAAAGACTCGGAGAAGGAGCAATAAGGGTAGCGACTTTCTGAACCCTCGCAGTACGAGCTTGCATCGCAGGACTTGGAAAGGGCGCCAAGCGACTAAACTTGGTGGAGGGCATCTCTCTAACTTGGACAGAAGCTTGGCTGCGAGGCTACCGAGGCCTGCGAGGCCTGCGAGGCTCAGGGATCGCTGGTTTTTGGCCTAGGAGGGGGGTTCTTGGTCTGGGTTCTGCGTGTGAAACACTTAAGACCGGACAACGCCTGGAAAACCGTTGTGAGCTGTTTTGGCATGTGCTGCCGCCGGCATTGCTGGCTGGCGGAGCTCAGCTCAAGTCTTCTTTTTGTTGTCGATTTTTCGTTGGGTTTGACAGCTTGGCCGTGAGCGACTGACGTGCGATTCCAGGGTAGGGACTTCGTTGCCCCGCTGGTTCTCAGTTTGTTGTATCTGAGCAGAAACCACATGCACAAGCACGGCAAGTCACCGTCCTGACAATCAACATCGCATGCGGGGTCTTGGCATTGTCTGATGTGCTTACCCGGCAATGATGTGACTTCTCATGACTGTGGTCCCAGGCACTTGCACTTTCTTTCAGGAGTAGCTTAGAGAAGGCTTAGAGTGTCATTTGGACCACCTTGTTGCTCTGAGGAAGATGCCTGGCTCCTGGTTCTCTTCGTCTGGACTTGACGCCTCTGTATAGCCCATGTAAAGTTCGAAGCGCATGTCCTTTCCTTGGAGAAATCGCCAGCCGTGGGAACCATGCCTGGTGAAGAGCCGAAAGACTCTTTTGTTGCAATGAATTTTGTAGAATTGGCGTAGAAGGGTCCCGATCCGACAGGGAGTTCGAGGGTCCAGCCGACGAGCCGATCCGAGCGTCCGAGCATCCGAGCGTCTCGCACGCTTGAAACATGGTTCTTGCTGGGCATGGTTGTGCTTGCCCAAAACCCAGACTTTGACCCTGGTCCCGCAAGGCTTCCGCGCCTGCCACGCCTCCGGCTGGGACACTTGCGGAGGCATTGCCGTCACCTGAGCCCTTGCTTGGACACACCGGCACCTTTGAAAGAGATTGCCCGACAGTTCCTGGCCTTCGATAGAACGACAAGACTGCCCAGGCAAGCTGACCAGCATAGTCGGCTGTGCCTCACATGCGGTACATGCAATGCTAAACTTTGTAGAAAGGTGCTGGATGTGGGCTGTTTGCCCTCACGGCTGTTCGCAGCAGCTGCTTCCTTGAAGGAGGGGTTGAAAAGTGCCGACTGTCGTGGCAGAAGTCTCAGGCTACAAATTCGCACCACCGCCCAGCCCGAATTTGGTTGCGTTGTGCGGCCCTTTCTTCTCTTGATGTGACTGTCGGTTAGACCGATCACTGCTGCAGTGTACAATCATTCTCGGCCGAGGCGGAAGATTCTCACCGAACGACTTGTGCCGGTACATTTCTACTTGAGGACCTGCAGCGACTGCTACTTCAAGGGTTTCAGCCGACCGGACTTCCTTGCGGCCGCAGGAACAATCTGACCTTCTGCAACTATGCCGCCAGCTCAGACCGGTTACACATCCTCTGACTCCGCTCCCAAGCAATGTCGCGAAGTCCCGAATGTCAATACCAGGAGAGTTTCATTTTGCAGATAAAATCAGAGTTGTAAAATAGCCTAAGATCAAGACTAAGATCGTAGCACGCGACATGGCTCTAAAACCCCCGACTCACAGTTTGAGTTCTAATCTTTTCGGTTCTTCGTGTTTCCGAGGTCTGGGACATGCACTTTATTGGAATATGTTGCTCTCCAAAATTTGAGGGCAAAAGTCACAAGGACAGGGCTGGGGCATCTGTGCATAACTTTTCGCCACAAGCTTACCGCTGTGTTAGGAGATCAACAAGATGGTGGAAGATATTTGCGCCGAGGCCCATTCATGCCAGTTGCTGGTCAATGTGGCTTGAGCACGTCAGGGCAGAGTCACAGAGACAGCAAGAGAGAGAGAGGGACAAAGAGAAGTTGAGCAGCTGCCGCAGGGCCTGATTCGCTGTGCCCGCAACGTGGAGCCAGAGCGAGAGCGAGAGAGAGAGAGAGAGAGAGAGAGAGAGAGAGAGAGCGAGGCAAGGGGGACAACCTCTTGCCCATAGCCCTGGCGAAAGAAAGAGAGAGCGAGAGACGGGGGAGAGACAAAACCCTGCGGACTGCAGGTGCGCGTTCGCGTGCAGGGAGGGTGGCGTCCGCTGCCTTCTCTTTACCTGGTAGAGAGAGAGAGAGAGAGAGAGAGAGAGAGAGAGAGAGAGAGAGAGAGAGAGAGAGAGAGAGAGAGAGAGAGAGAGAGCGAGAGAGCGAGGGAGGGAGGGAGGGAGGGAGGGGGAGAGAACATCGAAGAGAGGTAATCTCGTCATGATAGGCCAGAGAGGAGTGTTGTGGGGCTACCGTCCCGTCCTGGACAGCGCGGCGAGCATGGTGAGTGGGGTGAGGAACAGGAGTGCAGGTCTCACAGTGCTCGTTAAACCACAGTGCGGACATGTGTGCACAGAACGAAGGTTGAGGGCCAAGACGAAGAAGAAAAACCAGAAGAGGACGAGGAAGTGTCTTCACAGCCATGAATTGTTTCATAATCGCGGATCGGATCTTGTGTCGTAGAGGCCAACCTGCATCGCAAAACAACAGTTTGCTTGTGACTGCCATCAGGTTCTGTGTATCGGGTTCGGTTATATAATATACAAGGAACCGTGGCCTTGCGGCACCGTCATTTCAGAAACAGGCACACTACGCAGGATGCCCAAGGCCCAAGGTTTGAGAGCCGTGATCTTTTGTGAGCCGGATTTTCCATCGACAAGCTTCAGTGTGTTCGGTCAGCATATCTTTCGAAGGTTGGGATGCAAGGCCGAGTGAAAATGATATGCAATGGCCTCAGCCGTCATGGCTCCTGCCACTTCGGCTTTGCATGGCTCTTCGCATCATGCTTTCTTACACCAAACAAAAACCGTGGTCGACACTCTCAAAGATTCCAGGCCACCCTCCTTCGAGATGGCACATGATGCGGCGGCGAGCTCGCAAGAGGTGGGACTTCGACTGGTAAGGCCCGACACAAAAGAGCGTCCGGCTCTTGAGCACCAGGCATTTCTTCTGTTCTTCTGAAGGATTGCGCATGTCGGACTGTCTTTCTACCTTAACCGCGTGTCACGGCTCTGGGTTGGCTCAAGTCGTTTCCCGGCCCGTGACGTTTCCCAGACCGAGCCGCTGCCTGAGCCCTTGTCCGGGCGGTTGTACCCAGCGCTGTGACACCGGTGATGACTGAGGCGTGAGATTTATCAGATCAAGACAATGATGCCCCTGAGATGCATCGGGGCCATGATGCGCATGCAGAGCGTGCCCTGCCTGAGGCAGTGTGACCCATCCTCTGCTTTCTTCGGGACGCTTGGTGTCAGAAGAGACTTCATGAGACTTTCCTCTGGTGCTCTCCCGGCCGGGCACGCCGATGCCAAGGTTCATGGGAGTGACGTCGGCCTTAGTGTTCGCCAACCTCGGAGCAGCCTACGGCACAGCGAAGTCAGGCCTGGCTTACACAAAGCGAAGCTGTGCACTCGGCGTGCGTTTCAAAGCGCAAAGAGCACAGAGCACTGCAATGCAGGTGTCGGCATCGCGTCAATGGGTGTCGGGGCCCGATGGGCTGGTGCAGGGCCGCAGGGTGCCGGAGTCGACTGCTTGGCCGCTGGTAGTTGGCGCAGCCGAGGTGATGCGCCCGGACATGATCATGAAGCGCCTTGGCTCGGACATGTCATTCGTTCTGTGGCTTTCAACAGAGCAAGAGACCACCTAGGTCTATCATTCCAGTTGTTATGGTGCCGAGCTCGAAATCTCACAGTTCAGGCCCTGTCATGCATCAAAGTTTACTCAGGCAGGAGTCCTTGGCATCTACGGCCTCATCACGGCAGCACAACCCCAAGCTTGGCCTAGCTGGTTTTGGCACAGAGTTACTGAAACCCCGCAAGGTCATCATCAATGGCAAGATGGATGCCGCGAACTACTCGGCCTACTCCGGCTATGCCCATCTTGGTGCAGGCACAGCGCAGTTCTTGTATCTACAGCCGTGAGCTGCTCTCTGACCGAGGCCTCACCGTGGGCATGAGCTCCCTAGCAGCAGGACCTCGGATTTTTGGCGGGCGTCAGTCTAGTTGGTCTTCTACGTCAGGGAGTGACTTCGGCGAGGACTTGCCATTGGCATTGTTGGGGATGCCGGCGTTCGAGCAAACGCCCAGCAGCCGCGACTCTTTGTCGGCATGATCCTCATCTTGATCTTCGCCGAGGCACCGGCGTACTGGGTGTCTTGAGGATGTAAATTACAAGCAAAAAGACACCGTATCTCTGCGGAGTAGAAGCTTTGTATGCGAATCCCCTTGACTCGAGGCACTTGGGCTGTACGGCCTGATCGTTGGTCTGGTTGTGGCCTCCACTGCGGAAGGCAAAGGCTCGGCACTTACACTTTGGATGTCAGAGACATGTCAATGTGGAGTGAGATATACGTATGTGAATACACATACACATTCATGCATATATTACATGTACATGTATATGTATTAGTATGCTTATAAATATACTTATGCTTATACGTACATGTATTCGTATATGCATATGTACATGTATGTGTGTGTACATGTGTATAGGTGTGCATGCATGCATGTATGCGAATTTTTTACACGAATTTATGCCGCCTAGGCAAGGGCCTTTGCAGCCCATATGCCCGGGCCCGATCTGACTGCAGCTGACACTCTCAGTCAGAGTCATCTCAAGAAAGCCTTGTCGTCTGAGCGAGGCCTGAGACCAGAAGTATGTGACTGAGCTGGTGCTCGCTAGTGGCTGCTAGTGGCTGCTTTAGGCTGTCTTGGAGTTGTGGAGAGATTTTGGTAGCTCTCCCTTCGTGCAGTACTCATTGGCCAGGGCGGCTGTTCAGTTCCCGTGTTATTGCCTATGCTAGGTCAGCGTTGTGGAATCACAGTGACGAATCCGTTGCTCATCCGAGAAAAGCAGTCGAAGCGTTGAGTGGTGACTCTGTTATTTCGTTGGTGTTAAAGAGGGATATGATGGATAGATCGCTACGCAGGTGCCGCCCGTGAGCAGGCTGCTCAAGTTTTGCATAGGAGAGCGACATTTTCCCTAGGATCATGCATGCTCCCTGTCCCGCTCGATCCTCAGCATGCGACAGATGGAAGCCATAACTTTTCCTCTGTGATATGTTCGAAGATGTCCGAAGTGTTTCACCAGGCTCTGAAAAACCTTTGCCGACGGTGATGCGATAATTGCTGGCAGCTCAGTTTTGACGCAGAGGCTCGGTTTAACAGAGCGAAGGAACAACTGTGTGCACGTTGGATGCCTGGCTCAACCCAAGCTGCAGCCGACTGTATGACATGGAGAAGCCCATGCAAGATCACGACTTCATTCTGGAAGCGAGCCATCGCCAGTGCGTGGAGCCCCGCCTCAGCAGCTTATTGTGAGTTCGTGTCATGATGCATGATTGGAGTTGACACTAACATCATTGGGATCAGATATGTTCAACACCTGTGTTGCAGGAGGAGCTTTTTGACGATTACGCCGATGACTTCGATCGGCATTTGGGAGCCCTTCGCTATGACGTTCCGGGCTGTTTGCTGGCCATGCTGCCTTTGGCCCATTTCCACCGCTGTATTGACCTGGGATGCGGCACGGGCCTGGCGGGTGCCCGTGTACGTGCTCGATGCGCGCAGCTGGAGGGGGTCGACCTTCCCCTTAAAGATCTCTGAAGCCCCGGAGCCTACAGCAACTGCCTGAACCTGCAATGCTCGCCTCGATCCCGGGTCTTTCAGGGCACAAGGCTAGGCTGCTAGACCCTGAAGGTCGACCTTTCGCAGTGCATGATTGAGAAGGCCCGGGAGAAGGAGATCTACGATGACCTTCACTGTCGAGATTTGGTGGCCCATCTGCGCCGACAGGCTGACAGTACTTGCGATCTGATTATTGCCACAGACGTGGTTATGTATCTCTACTCGATTGCGCCCTTCATCGCAGAGGCAGAGCGGGTGCTGTCAGCTGGTGGCATTCTGGCCTTTTCTACTGAATCTGCCTCAGAAGATGAGGCGCCTCCAAGTGGTGTCATTGAAAGAGCGAGCGAGCGCTTCGCTCACACGCGAAAGCTCATTTTGGAGCTTGCGGAAAAGGCACACTTCGCTGCGGAAGATGTGAAAGAAGTGGATGTCCGGCTCGATGGTTCTGCAGGTCCCATCAAAGGAACCTGAAGCTGAACTTCAGCACGCCATCTCTCGAGTGTAATCGCTAGCCCCTAAACCTAAGTCCTGCCTGAAGACTACCTCCCTAACAGTTCAGTTTCATGGCGGGTTTTTCTGAGGGAGGGCGGTTTGGCGGGGAACCGACAGCCGACGCTCTGAGCATCTAAGCCTTAAGCCGTGAGCCCGGCACTAAGCCCAGCCTTAAACCCTCTGCGCCCAGACAATCGTAAGTCAAAGTAGTGTGGCACTGGGACTGGATCTGGGGGTTGGGGTGGTACATGTGAGAAGTGATTAGGGTATAAATTTCTGTTGTGCTGCTGCCGTTGCCGTTGGTAGAGGATCACGGAGAGGTGTTTGTGCTTGACTACAATCATGTTCGGCCAGGCTACGTAGCCTCTATATTCATGGCAACTGGCAAACAGCAGGACAAGTTGCACAACTCCTCCTCCCGACTTCCTCCCGCCATCGCCACCCCTATACCAACTCCTGCTACTGCTCCTACTCCTCCGCGTCCTCGTCCTCCTCCTCCTCCTCCTCCTCCTCCTGGTGCTGCTGCTCCTGCTGCTGCTCCTGCTCCTGCTCCTGCTCCTGCTTCTGCTGCTACTACTAATGCTCCTGCTGCTACTACTGTAGCTGCTACTACTAATGCTTCTGCTACTGCTACTGCTACTCTGCTACTGCTACTGCTGTACTACTGATGCTACTACTGATGCTACTGTACTGCTACTACTACTGCTACTACTGATGCTACTGCTACTGCTACTGCCGCTACCACTGCTACTGTGTCTACTGCGACTGTTACTTAGAAGACTTCTGGACAACAACCCCGGCGACTTCTTAAGAGAACACTGCGCAACAACAGCAGCAACCGTAGCAGCAACAGCAAACATAGCGACAAGAAGCAAGGCAGCACCAGCAGCATTCTGCAATTTTCGGAGCCATTGCTTCATTGGGCAGGCTTTAAGTTCCGTAGCGATCAGTTTCCTCCTGTTTGTGAGTTCAGGAGATATCTTCCTGCTGCGTCTGCAAGCCTGAGAAGCTGGCGTCGTAGAAATGGTAGGCGATCAGTGCCCACTGCGGAGACAAACAACTTTCCGCAGGGAGGTGGTCTCGTCGAGTTTCGATACCAGATTCATCCATGCTGCAACGGAGCATTCCTGTATGCGAGCCTGCAGCCCACAAGCTCAGGTCAAGTGGAGATGGCCGGAGGCCGCCTCTTTGCTTGAAGATGACGCGAAGGTCTCTGCTGCGTTGAATATGGAGGTCTTGCAGAGGCCATCCTGGACTATGGAGGTTCAGAGATGCCAAGTAGCATCCAGAAGCAACTTCTTGTCAAGTGCCCGCTATCGCAATGTGACGGTTCAAGGACATGGCTAGCGGCTAGCCTCCTTGATTTCATTCTCGGAAATCTTGCATGCTGACGATCAGCTTCGCGAGGTTCTCATTCTGGCAACTAGTCCCTTCCTTTCAGACCAGTGCAAGCTCAGACATGTGTGGGACTTCAAAACAATGCATGGCCCGTGCTCCGTGCAAGCATGCGCCAGTCATGCACTTTGGTGGAGTCGCCACTCGATTGGCTGTCTCAGGACCACCGCATCAAAGTCGCGCAGACACAGCAGTTTGGGGTTTTCGTGTTGGCTCGTCGCTGCTATTCTGCAGGGTGAGGTTTCAACTAGAACGTTGCTGGCATGCCTGAAAATGATTTCTCCTTGGCCTCTGAGCACTAGTCTCGATAATCAAATCTGACAGCAAGCCGTGGCTTGAGCAGGAGTCGAGATGCTGTCAGATGTTGTGAACCCATTAGTCGCTTATGAAGAGCCTGCCGGCCCAAAGACTATACAGCGACAAGCCTATTCCTGTGGGCAAGACGACTCCCGGGAGCTGCGGGGCCAGTGTCTGGCCAACGTTTGCGAAGGCTTAAAATGACTGAAGCTGGGTTGGAGGTTCAGGTGGGCACTGGGCACCTTGGTCCATAAAGGTGTGTATCTGAAGTGGACCAGGACAGCACTAGCACAAGCAGCTGGCCCTATGGTGTGGCCGCATCCGCTTCCCGGAGCAGGAGGGGACACGTGGTAAAGCATTGTTTCTTCGCTTCTTCTGCATTCGGAGGTCGTGCTCCTCCTCCCGGGTCCTGAGCTTCCATGCGAACGCGGCCCACCAGCAGCCGGCAAACATGCACCAAAATCCGGGCGGGCAACAGCAACAGCAGCAGCAGCAGCAGCAAGCGCCACAAGAGAGCCAGCCTGAGCCGGCAGCCGGCAATGCCTCGTCCTCGCATGCAAACGGCTCAAAGCCACGAAGTGCTCAGGGACAGGATGCCCAGGACGGAGAGTGAAAAGAAAGGCCTCAAGGCCTTGCACGTCTGGTCGCGTCCTCATCCGAAGGACAACCAGGACGACCAGGAGGAGGAGGAGGGTGGAGACGATGACGAGGCATTGCCAACCAGCAAACTTCTGGCTGCTTGAGAAACGGGGGCACCAGCACACGCTGTTCTCTTCTCAGGAAGCTGATGCCGTCCCGGAGCCAAAGAAGCCCGCGGAGACGGCCAAAGCATGGGCCTCGGGTCTTTGGTCGAAGGCGATGTGATGTGACGGTCGCTTGGCCGCTCCGAGGAGGCAGCTTTTAAGGAGGCGCTGAGAAAGCACAAGGAGCAGGTGGCAAAAGACGAGGACCGGACCGGACCTTCGGTGGGAAGTCGCGTCAGCGTTCGATCACTCCCAGGAGCAGAGAAAGGAGGAAGCAGAGCTCAAGGAGAAAGCGAAGAAGAGGCTGGAAATGGAGCGCAAAGCAAAGGCGCCTGGGGGAACAGATGCTTGGATGTTTGAGTGTCTCCCAGTCCTAAGCACAATGCTTGCCGCTTTGCAAGGAGATGCTGAAGGCGCTGCCGCCAATTCCGGAGGTCCGGCGTGGCTCTTGAGTCAAGTCTGCTCATCTCCGCTTCAAACTCGAGAGGACGGCCACGCAAACCATCGCAGCTGGGAGCCCACACAGCATGTGCGCTGTTCTTCGTCCCTGCAAAACCGTGAACAAGGCTGGGAGGCGCAGCTGTCTGCCAGCGACGTGAAGGAGGAACTGCAAGCAAGGCGGCTGCAGCACGCCATTGGCTTTGGACCAATTTCTGTCTGATTGCGGCCAGTCGCGAGATGGACGCTTTGCGGTCCAAGCAGCATGCAGATCCTGGAGCCCTCCTGGCAAAGGTGAGGCATCAAAAACAAGGGGCATAGAGTGATTGTGGACGGGCAGTCAGGACCTGCGTGGAGCCTTTCTCAACTACTTGGGCTCCAACAGCCCGCACCACCTTGCCTCTGCCAGTGCCCGCGCAAGCGCTAGCGAGGAGGCGGGGGGAGCGTGTGCATTCTCAGCAGCATATCGCACCGGAGCAAGATCAGTGCAGACCTTCCAGGCAGACATGGCACATCATCAGAGCACCATGCCGAGAGTGCCCGTTCCTGTGCTAGACTTGCTTTAGAAGCATTGAATCCTGAGGTTGGGAGGCCAAGCTTACGGCCGAAGACATGAAAAATCAGATGCTCTCAAGGCAGTCATTGCAATTGCATGCAATTACTGCCTTTCTGCCCGTCCGCTGGCTGGCAGTCGTGAGCGCGACTCCTTGGCATCTTCTGTGGCAGCTGGCTTGCATTCTAGGCTAGAGTGCAAGGTGCTACAAGTAGTGCTCATCTGCAAGAACCCAGGTGGGCAGTGCAGATGCAAACAAAGCTTTGAGGGAACGTGACGAAGGTGTCGGCGACGCAGGAGGACTGCAACGTCTGCAACCAGCTAGGTCGCTCAGGGTGGCCCTGCCTGGCTGGACTCACAGGAAAGGACAAGAATGTCAGCGACGAGGATTCGAAAGACAAAGTGGAAGTAGGCACGGAAACAGGGAGCAGGAGGCAGAATCATGCCGCAAGAGCGCAAGAGTTGGAGTCAAGCACACAGACACAGACACAGACGCAGAGCAGAGACGCCAAAAGTGGGAGGCCCTGCATCAGAGCTCCACACGACCGAAGAAACAGTGCCATCGTTGTAACCTCCTCTTTGTTTCTTCAGGCCTTAGCTACCCACAATGGCTGCTGTTGCAATGCTGGGAGGTCAGGCAGGTAGGCTTGGGCCGCGAGGAAGATGAGGTCGTATGCATGTGCATGGGCCTGAAGAGAATGAGACACAGAGACACAGATGTGTTTGTTAAATTGCTCAACCAAAGAGGAGTCGAGAGATGTTTGCTGCATTCTGTCTTGACAGGCTCGTCTGGTGGTTCGGGCACCTTGCTCCCGCTGTCTGGGGCCCGACGGCAGCTCATGCAGAGCCAGTGACTTTCCCAAGCCCAGGATTCACCAGGTGGGTCAGTCCATTGGCCTGAACGATATCCTCAAGGCGCGCCTTAGCCCTTCTTTTGTTTCACAGTCCCAGGTTTTTTGAAGTCTCCCTGAAGCCTTGCAGAACAGCGTCGAGAGCTTTAACCTGGCCTTCAGACAATCCCCATATCCAAAGCAGCTTGCTTCAATCGGACACTGCGCAGCCTTGCGTTTGAGAAGATGCCTTTGCTTTATCCAGGTTCTTCTGTGGCAAGGAAGGTGAGACTACGAGGGAGCTGGAGGAGAATGATCATCCAGCTCTCTACTTCTCCTTTCCTGTTCGGACTTTCGGCTCGTGTTGAAGTCCCAGACTACGGCCGGGCAGGATTAGCAACACAATCTCTCTTGTCGCTCATGTCTTCGTAAGGAACGTCAGCGTCACGCTCACGAACCTCGGCAAGCTTGGAAAGGGGCCCGAGGACGGCTTCTGCAATGCGGCCGATCCCTCACTTTCTTCGCTGCGGCGTGTGTTTTGAGGAGGTGGTGTGGGATGCGGAGTTTTCGAGTCGCAAGGACTTCAAAGGAGTTCTAGGCGCAATAGCAGATGCCTCGCACCAGGGTTTTCACCCTTCGTGGGTCGTCGCACAGGCACCATGCGTCCAACCGGTGGCACGAAGCCGCGCTACAAGCCACCGTGCTTTCCTGCCAAGACCAAGTACCGGATGCAGCTGCGAGTGAGCCTCGGCAAAAGCCCTTCTACTGTTAGTGCTTCTTTTGGGTCGTTCTCAATGCCTGCCTATTTTTACAGAAAGCGGCAGCTGCTTCCTTTGTTTGTGCTTGTGTCAGTCTCTGGCTCTTGTACCGAGTAGCGGATGAGAAAGGGTTTTGAGTGCACCTGTGGTGTCAACGTCGTTTGATGTGTTCAGGATATCTGAAGATGAAGGCGAAGCTGCTGGTCGAGCGCCTAAGACACGAATCGATGCGTGCTGTGCGGCCAAAACCAGAGAGCTTTTTCAGCTTGTGTTGATGTTTGTGACTCTTGTGATATCTGTGCGTGTATTCCTTTCAATTCATCGGTCTAATTAGTTATCCTGCGCATATATGCAGCACATGTCACTTTATTGTAGAGCCATGTGTGCATGTATCTTGCACCGTTCGTACAATGCACAGACGAGCAGAGATGGCTACAAGGGAGCAGTGTACAAAGGGATGGGGACGGTACACAGGCAGAAGCATGTGTGTAGTTGCGAAGCCAATTCATACACGTACCATGGGTTCTAACACTATGCATTATATAGAGATGCACGCATATGTTAGCCTAATAGCCTAATGTATCGTACATACGTATAACATATACACGCACACACCATCAGACATTCTATTACAAGATATTACGTTCACACAGGATAATACCATATGTTACACTTTAGTACAAGGTGTTACCGGATAGTGCAGCATACTACAAGCCAATGCAACATGATACAGTACTCATTCCGTATTTTTCAGCACAGTGTAGTGTAATGTGCTCTCAGGTTATAATATATCATGATATAGTGACATATGACCTCACATTCCCAAAACAATACTATACAATATCATCGTGTAATATCATGTGGTCTCACCTGGTATCACAGCAGATGACACAATCTGACACGGCCAATGTAATATTTTCCAAACCGTAATGGAACAGAGCCGAAACTTGTAGACCGTAGAAGGCTACAACAGAATATAGTGGAATTTTATAGAATGCCATACAGAATAGTTTACAGCGTTACATGGTGCTGTAGTGTCCTGCATTGTTGTCTTGGATAGTGTTGTATTGTATAGTCTTGCATCCTTGTGTGTTGCATTGCTTGTATTGTGTTGTATAGTATTGTATAGTATTGAGTTGCAAGTGTAAGTCTAAGTGCAAATGCATCCTATAATGTGGTGCAACAAGATAGCTAGCAGAATGTGGCACAGTATGTTCAGTTTTTACGACGGCGTGTTATGCCAATGTGCAAAAATATCATACCACAGTATACAGTAATGTTGAATAGTACAGCATGTCAACCAAGAACATACCACAGTATATAGGTTTCATGGACTATGGTCTAAGATGCATGAAGATAGGATAATACAGCATGAAGCAGTATAGTTCACCTAAAACATGATATACGATATTTTCACCTTATGCTCGTAACACAATACCACATGATATGCAACAGTACAACCGAACATAGTATAATGGAGCAGATTAGACTGGATGGACTAGACTGGACCAGAACAGAAACGAATAGAACACATCATGCATCATACAGTGGAGTACACTGCAACAGAGTAGAGTAGAATGGGTTGGCATAGAACAGATTAGAGAATGCAGAAGCATCCACACATAGAGACATGTGAATTTGAATGTTAAGGCACAAAAAAGGATGCACGGGATTGTGTTTTGACGCAAAGTTTTGTTCTTTTCAATCCATATCCAATCCATCCAGCTTTCTCCTCTACCTTCCATCCCCCGTTATCCAGCCTAGCAAATCCGAGCATAGACACAAGATTCTCCAGATGGCCGGTGGAAGAATGGTAGCTCCTTTCATGAGCAGAGCAAGGAATGAGTTTCCCCAGCTGCCCTTTGGAGGTCTGGCTAGCTCTTCTAGCCTCTTCCTTTTTGACGAGTCTGGAGTCCATTCTCAATTCTCCACAGTCCTAGTGCAGTTTCAAGACTTCTGGACGTCTCCTGCATTGAAGAATGCAGCAGAGTCTTAATGAAATAGTACGTGCCACTGCACTGCAGATTGGAGACACCGCAGAAACTTCCCCCGCAGTGCAAGGCTTTGCTGAAGGTTTGGCCTTGCAGTTTGAGTGAAAATGGGGCCCGGAGATTTCCCGAGGTTTCTCAGTATGCAATCCCACCTTACGGGAAGCGTATTGTACATCCACTTCTTATCCCAGAGTCCATTCTCTGCAATGCGGGTGGTCATAATCTTCACTCAGATGCTTGGGTTATCCATTTGTCGGTGGGTCTGTATATGGATTTACCGACTTTCTTTCCATGGATATGTCTGTCCAGGTCTCTGATCCTCCCGCTTTCCTGTATGTACCCATACATGTGCACACGCACACACACACACACGCACACACACACACACACACACACACACACACACACACACACACACACACACACACACACACACACACACACACACACACACACACACACACACACACACACACACACACACACACACACACACACACACACACACACACACACACACACACACACACACACACACACACACACACACACACACACACACACACACACACACACCACACACACCACACACACACACACACACACACACACACACACACACACACACACACCACACACACCACACACACCACACACACACACACACACACACACACACACACACCACACACACACACACACACACACCACACACACACACACACACACACACACACACACACACACACACACACACACACACACACACACACACACACACACACACACACACACACACACACACACACACACACACACACACACACACACACACACACACACACACACACACACACACACACACACACACACACACACACACACACACACACACACCCCTGCACACACTGGCTGATCTGGCTGCACATATGCATACATATACGTACATACAGATGTAGAAGTGTGGAACTGGATATTCATGTTTGTGGCTGCGGGGGCTGCATGTCTGCTTGTTCAAGGTCCAGATCGCAGCATCGACGAAGACGCCGAGTTTGAGGTCCAGCAATACTGTAAGCTTTTTGAGGCTTAGCGGGCTTAGCAGGTTTCAGAAGTTTGGCCTTTGTTGTTCAGGTCTTGGGGCTGCAGAGTTTCAGGCTTCGTGTGTGTGCAAAGGCCATACAAAAACCTTTGGAGCCGATTCGGTTACTGCACGCTTATCGGAGCGCTTCCGGAGCAGTTCCCCGGACCCGGTTCCGGCTCCCTGGAAGGTCCAACTTCTCGACAGGAATGATCCCTTGATGCAAGAGAGGCAAGGCCCTCGCCAGAAAAACGGGATATGTTTTAAGAAGGCCTGGTTTTGTTTTTGGAGGCTCAAAGATGCAGAGAACCACTACGACGGCGTCCGGTCGGGGGACTCCTTCGGCTCAGGCTCGGAGCAGCCGGACAGAGCTACTCATGCTACACTTTTGAGCAACACTTTCCATGGGTGTATACAAGCTGCAGCACAGGTCAGCAAGCCGTCTAGCAGCTTGGAACACAAACTGTCATGCAGATCAGCTAATTGGGGGCGGAGGGATGCGCGAGCACAGGGAATGCGGAGTTCAGGCTGATTTTGTATGTAAACTATCATAATCACCTGTATGATAGCAAGAGGTTCGATGCAAACGCTATTGGCGTTGATCTAGGTCCTACCCACGATATTACCGAGACTGCCAGCACTAATTGCTGATACGACATAAATAATGGAGTTGACAAGCACGATGGCTTTGTGCAAGAACCACTACTACCACTTACCTTCCCGGCTTACCCACTCTGCCTACATATAGCACCTATACAAAAATCGCAAACACAGCTGGTCTGATGATAACACGAACACATTGCTACGGCCTTCTGCCTCATACTACTAGAATCACAGATAGCATTGGTGCTATCAAAGCCCCTACCATAGTACCATCACCAGTGTTGCCTTTTGTCTGGGATCTGCTTGCACTACTAGCAGTACTGCGATTATTGATCTTTTGAAGCTTTCGGAAGCTCTGATGTGCTAAAACCTGGAATGTCTTCAGAATTCCGAACATCCACACAGACGTTCGTTACTTCTCAGAATTTCAGAAGTTTAGCGGATGGCTTGTTCCCATTTGAAAATGTTGATCTTTGGAAATTGGAATTGCCTTGCAATAGTGGTGTATCAATATCAAGGAGGCTCTTAATGGAACCGCTTAATGGACCCAGTCATTGGAAAGTTCACTGCTTTGTTTTTCATGAAACTGTGTCGTCAATGTTGGTGGAATGTGCCAGTGTCTAGCAGCTCTAGGAGCATCATTCAAGTTCATACTACATGCAACGTTTGCGACTCGTACAACAAACCCTGAAACTGAAGCTTCCCGACGTCCAAAAGCCACTTTTGGAATGTTTGAAGTTCCGCGAAGTGAAAGGGTTCTCAAGCTTGAAAGTTGCTGAAGTCAACACAGGTTGGCAACGACAGCGGGGCAGGAAAAGAATGCAAGCGAACCTGATACAGCACAATATGTACATACACATGTACATACACATGTACATTTGCATACACATGAACGTATACATACGGAGATGTACATGCAGACAGGTGCATACGAGATGATTGCCTAACACCCATGATGTTCGTAAAAGCAACTCGATGCGCGTCCTTGGAAGTTTGGGTATCGAAGTCTGCCCTGGAGGGACAAGTGGTTCTGGGCTTCCTGGTGCAGTCGCTGGCCCTGCGAATCAAGACAAGATTGGCAAGCAACTTGTTTTAATGTGGCTGGTGTCTGACCTGTTTGCATTCCAAAGCCTACGAAGGATGCTCAAGGAGTTGATGAAGTTTGAGAAGCGGCCGGCCAGCAACATCAGTAGGGGTTTAAATTCCCTTACAGAGTGTGGGTCTGGTCCTCTCTGAGCTTCTTGGCCAGGCTGGGGCCATACATTGCTGCGGTGCCGGCGGTGCCTGCCGATGTAGCGATACTAGCAGCACTAGCACCAAGAAGAAGGCTGGGAACCACTGTGTTTTGCGGGGGAGACTTGCTGGCTTCGTCGTGCGAGCGGAAGCTTGTGTGTGTGTGTGTGTGTGTGTGTGTGTGTGTGTTTTATCATCATCATCATCATGCTGCTGCTGCAACTGCTGCCGCTAGCACCACACTGCCACTGACGCTGCCCTTGCCACTGCTGCTGCTAGCTGTCACGACTACCATCACTCCCGCCGCTGCCTCTGCTTCGCAGTAGTCGTAGTCGTGATCGTATTGGAGTGATGGTGGTTGTGGCAGTGGCATTGGCATTGGCAGTGGCAGCGGCGGTGGTAGTGGTAGTGGTGGTGGTAGTAGAATGTAGTAGCAGCAGGAGGAGTAGTACGACTACGACTGCGACGACCACGCGACGACTGTGCCTACAACGACGACGGCACGACTACACCGACGACTGCTGCTGCTGCTACTGCTGCTCCCCGACTAGCACCACCACCGCCACTGCAGCCGAAGGTTCCGACCACCACACGACAAAAGCCAGGGATGTGGTAGAAAGTGAAGTGCAGCGCACCCCTCCTGCTGAGGCAGCCAGCTCCTCGCACAGCTGCCAGACTTTCCTATTTGCACTTCCTCTAGCTGGATCGGCTGAGGGTGCTTGCTTTGGATTATCTGTCAGATCGAGCAAAGCTCTCTGTCGTGACGGTATTTCAGGCACCTCCTAGGACGTCGTAGGACCTCGAGACTGAGCTAGGCCCTGCGGGCCGGCTGTAGTCGATTGCTTGCGAAAAGAAATGCAGCGTTTTCGAGAAAAAAAGCTCCGCATTGTGTGCCACGGCTGTTCGGGCAATGCATAGCATGTGGCAGGTGCCAAGGGTCTTGGATCAGCTTCTGCACAGAAGCTGTGGAAGAACAAGACCGAAGACTCGGAGTCAGATCCTCGTGCAATTCGCATCAGGACATCTGAGGGCCATGATGTCGGCACTGCTGAGAGTCTTGCTGTGCCTAGGCCACGTCCACTTCAGATCGAGTACAATAGTGGCTTGTCAGAAGAAGACAACGAGATATTCGAGGACTCCGTAGGGTGCAGATGTCAGGCCAAGATAGGTGTGCTCAGACACGTACCGTCGGCTGACGCTTCTTGAATCGGCAGGATCTTGGCCTGCCCGGACATCAGAAGGCCGTTGTGCACTGGGACTAAACCGAGCCGGCACTTCATGTGGCTTGAGTGGGCCAAAGACTAGTCTCAGATAGAACGATCGAACCTGCTTGTCAACTGTCGCCTTGTAAGTGATGACCCGAAGACTCAACAGCTTCGAAGTTTGATTATTGCATCGATTGACTGGAGCTGGCGCCGCGGGTGCGGATGAGTCTGCAAGAGTAGAGCTGCATTCCGCAGGTCTTCTGAGCATGTTCTCCGAAAGTGTCTCGTGGGTATATTTGATGCATCCTCCCTTCCTATGTACTCGATATCTATATTTATGGTAGGAGGAAAGGGCAAGCTTTAGTCAATCCTACAAGCTGCTCTAAAGTTCTGATAGGTCGCGGAGACCGTTTTCGAAGACCCGGAAGAGGCGCGGCTTTCAGTCCGCGGCTCGCTTGTCGCACAGTGTTCCGAGAGCCCTTCGCCTTAGGCCGGCATTCGACCCCGGCTGCTGGTTCCCTTGCAGTCTGTGCTCGGTCTAAAGGCTTTGTGCACCTTGGACTGGAAGACTGGAAGTCGGATTCGCCAAGTCAGCTCCGCAGATCTGCGGGCTTCGCACCTCTAGGTGAGCGTGAGTACATCCGCACGGAGACGGTGACTGAGATGCTGAATCAGTGCCGCACCGCTTACTACAAGGACCCAGCGTCCGACCTGCGAATGCGAAGGGAAGCGACGATTGCGCCGAAGAGGAGCTCCTCTATCTCCGAGAGCAACTCATCCTGGCAGCAGAGCCGGAGAAGCAAATGCTGCATCTCGAACGCAGCCCGAAAGAATCCCAAAGAGACTCAAACCTTAGGCCGACATATCCGAGCTTCCAAGCAAAACCCCTCTTTCCTTTAAGGCTGGCGTCTGTTCAGAACTATGAGGCGGACGGACGGAGGCGAGCTAGAGCTGAGCGCTCTCTGTGGCGCGACTTCTTGCAGGTCTACTACTTCAACCCTCCAGCTTACGTCGTCATCACCTGAGATCTGTGGTGTGTCGCGAGGGCATCCGCTGCACGCCTGGGTCTGAGGACGAAGACCTGAAAGAATATATCATGAATTGCAGCAGCTCCTTGGGCCGCCTTTTGTTAGCTGAAGCTTTGTCATTTGTGTGGACCTGCGCTCTCCTGCGCTTTCGAATGTGAGCCGACATCTCAGGATGGACCCACAAGAAACTGATAGAAGAGAACTACGAGCTCCAGATGAAGCTTGCAGGCGCTACAGACGGCAGCCCGCCCGAAGCAGAAAAGCAAGCGCAATGGAGCCTGGTCAGGACAGGAGGACGTCTTTGAGAATGTAGACTTTTGCCTGAAAGGGCTACTTCGGAGACACGGGCGGGCGACCGAGAGAATGCTGCAGACACGCCCCATTCCTGTAGTGAACGAGAGTGAGAGTGACCTTTAGGACCTACAAAGTCTTCAAGACCATGCACAACATCGTGAAGAATGCCAAGGCCGGATCCTGCGACCCGTGAGACAGTGAACGGCTGCCTTTGGTGCAACTGCAGGACCTCTTCAATCCCGAGGACATGATCCGCAAGAAAGAAATGGAGGAGGGGTTGGGCCGGTTTCGAGGGAAGTTGTGAGTTTCAGGGCTTTCGAGGTTAGTTTCGGTGCTGAGTCAAGCCGCACACGGTCCGGACGCCATGGTCAGTTTGAGGTCCAGGCCTGCAAGAATCGGACTGAAACTGCCCACACCGCTCCCCCGAAACTGACAGCCGATCCGAGATTAGAAACCCGAAACTACGGGCACCCTACCCCCGGTTTGCGGTTTTGGGCATCCAAGAGACTCCCTGTCAGGGCCTGAAGCCAATCGACGAGTTGCAGGCATCGCCATCTCGAGCCCCTGCGCGGTCATTTGCAACTCACCCCCTTTTTTGGACAGGCAGCCGTCGTCGAACTCTTCCCGAACCTCAAAGCCAAAGAAGACAATTCGGTCTTCGCCTCTGTAAGATGCGGCCTTGTCAGCTCTCGGCTGCATGGGAACCTTGCATGAGGGCCTCCTCCTGGCCGAGATCGAGGCGATTTTTGCCTGCAGAGAGCCGAGCCGCCAAGCCGAGCCGCCGAGCCTTGAAAGGAGCTCCAGCAGTCTGTCACGCAGCTCAGAGCAGAGTTGGCCAAGACGAAGGCCCAGCTCTTCTCACGTCGTATGAGCGTTGTTTTCCCGGTGTAACTTTGAGGATCTCCTGGAGAAGGAAAGAAATCGCGGCTGACTCAGCTTCTTGAGCCAGGTCATAGGTCATGTCAGGCCTGGCCGGCTATGTAATGTATGGCCACTTCTTCCAGAAGCCGATCACACGCAGAGAAAATGCCGGTGTGGGCGACGGCCACTCACGAAAAGGATTGCCAACTATTGGGTATGGTTTTGGTCGCCACACAGCGTTTGAGGCTTCGAACTAAAAGCACGCCGGTTGCACATCGTCCGCCAGCCAGACAACAGCCATGTTTGCCGACGGCGAACAGCATGGTGCAGTTGGTTGGGGCAAGATTTGCTCTTTCAACTGTCGAGGTGAATCTAAGAAGGCCCATTGAGACGCAGTTTTTTCTAGAGCTTGGGGACTGCGGGGAATGGCAGCAGGTGCCAATGAGCTGAATCGGAAGTGCGATGAGCAGAAGCAGCTCCTCGAAAAGCCGCGCGCGGAGGAGGCAGCTTTCGGAGAAGATCTTGGACCTCGGAGCAGCCTCGAAGTGTCAGGTGGAAGTCGTGAAGAGAGTGGACAACGAAGCAACCTTGGAGGAGCTGAAGCAGCTCAAGGACTGGGCTCTGAGACCGAGTGAAATATCGGGCGTTCACTCGCCGTCTTATCGTTGCTCTTTCTCAGGAGCTCAGGCAGCAGATGGAACAGGAGGCCCAGGCGCAGGCCTGGGGAGAAAACCCATTGATGCGAATGGATCTGGTAACTGGTCGTTTCGGTTTGCTGCTTTTTTTGGCCGAGCCAGGCAAGACGGCTGCGAAAGCAGCTGGACGAGTTCGCCGCAGCCAAGTCCTTGCCGTCAGGACTTTGGAGAGTCCAAGGCTTGGTTCCTGACGTCTCTCGGGGTGTCAGGAAGCTCGAAGGCGGATCCCAACAAGCACCTGCCGAAGCTGGACGAGGCCGCTGTTTCTTGGAGGGTGAAACCCGCAGCCGCAGTCTGCCTTCTTTAGGCCATCTCCGACGCCGAGCAGCTCTTCCAAGCAGCTGCCGGGAGCCCACGGACAAGTCCTGACGAAAGCTGTGAGCTCTCCGTGTGTTTGAGAGTCTAAATCTTCTTCACGCCGCGGTTCTTCAGGCGAGCCTACCGGCGCAGCAGGTGGTGACGAAAGTCCAGGCATCTGCGGTTCTAAAACGTACGACTCTAACATACTCTAAGACACACTTCTTGCCATCCCAGGGCGCCACCAAACAAGTGGTGGATAAAAGCGGAGAAGAGAAAGCTTTGAAGGCCCGGGAACCTCGAGCCCTGCAAGCGCAAGTTGCACATGACATGCATTTCATCGAGCCTGCTAGGAGCTGCAGCAGCTCAGGCAAGAGTGTTTGGCTCAGAGGGTATTTCGTGTGCATTTCATGCTCGAGTCGTACGTTGTAGCATACTACAGGCCATGCAAGTACAAAGCGGTGCTTACCCAGGCTGGAGGCTTTGAAAGCCAAGCTTGCGGCTGCCGAGAAGACGCTTGTCTGCAGTGCAGGGAAAGGTCGCTTAAATCTGGAATTGGTGTTGTCTTCTGACTCCCGGCAGACCCTCAAGCCCTGAAGACCATGGATTTGACAGCTGAGGCGCGAGCGCGAAGCCTTGCAGAAGCTCAAGGACAGCAGCAAGGGCCCTCGGTGACCCAGGCGATTCATGTTTCACTAATTTTCACTATACGAAAATGCATTAAATAGACTACAACATGCTAAAACATGAAATAATATGTTAGAATATACTGTAAGATGCAAAAGGATACTATCAGAGAAGCCCTTCTTCAGGAGCTGCAGAACAAGCCGGACAAGGCCTTGGCCTTGGATCTCCGTCCCAGGGAATCTTGCGAGTGCTGCCGCAGGTTGAGAAGTCCGACTCAGCGGGACCACCAATCATTTTTCGCAGTGCCTCCACTGTGTGAGCTCTTCAATAACTTCCCTTCCAGGACCCATTCCAGACGATTACGAAGAGCTCAAGACGCGCCTAGAGCGGAAAATCGCCAGGCGCGGGAACATGCGTGCTGGGACTGCTGCCAGTAAGTGGGGGTATCACTGTAAACGCAGCAGAATCATCTCTGAACCGTGTCGCGATTCTTTCCACAGCGAGCCTGGGCAACTTGAACTGTCTTGGCTCTTGTGCCCAACGGATGGCTAGATCTTTCCGCTTGCTCTTTTAAATTTCAGTCGTGTTTTGGGGGTAAAAAAACCGACCCCGAGCTCCCCCCGAGCGTCGCAGCAGCGCTCCTCAGCTCCTCAGCGACAAAACGCCTCTTTGCAGGATCGCCGAGTTGGAAGCGGAGTTAGACCAGGCCTTTTGATAGAGAGAGACGTTTTTGGTTTTGGCCACATGACGCTTTTTGACGCTCTTTGTGGCTTTCTGTATGTATGCAGCTTGTGCTCTCTCTGGCCAGACGAAGCGAGACTTGCGAGCTGCCAATCGGAAAGTTGAAGAGCAGGATCGTGGGATTGCTTTGTGCTTCCGTGTTGACGCGAGGGCATGCGAAGGCCTCGGCTGGGGATTCAGGAGCTGCTGCTTCAAGAGAAGGGCAGGAAAGATGCAGAAAAGGCCAAGCAGTGTTCGCATCCCAGCTGTCAGCTGGAGCTCTCGTTGCGCTTTGCGTCGAAGTTGCAGAGTAACTGCGATCCGAGTGTCCGACCTCATGGAGAAACTGCGGAAGTCCGAAGAGGAGGCCCGAAGGGCAAGACTTGGGAAGGATTTGCACAAGCCCTGTGCCGCATTTCGGGATCAGGCCGACAATCTTGGAGTGACTTGCCTGCAGGGCGTAGGCCGCAGTTGTCAGTTGTCGTATTCTTGCAAGGAACGCCGAGAGTTCTTGAGACATCGATTGGGCTGAGGGTAAGCTGTACAATGCCCAAGAGAAGATCAAGAAGCTCAAAGAAGAGATCCGGGACTGATGGGCACGTAGCCCTTCACACCAAACCCTTAACCTTGCCCCTCCCAGCCCTGACATCGATATGCAGGACCTGAAGAACAAGCTGGGAATCAAAGTGGAGGAGAGTGAGGGGGAGGAAGAGGAGGAAGCGGAGGATGCGCCGAGCTTCATGAGCCGCTATGCCATCCGAGTCCCTGCCTCGGGCTTCAAGGTTGTGGGCTTAGGGTTTGGGGTCAGCGGAGTTGGCGTTTGGGGTTAAGGGTTTTGGGCTTGTTGTATAGGGGCGACGAGACAGTCTCAGGCGAAAAACAGTGGAAAGCCACGCTGGATGCTGCTGAGCGAGGACTTTGCTGATAAGCCTTCGCGAATCGCTGCTGTCCTGCTGCTGCTGTATATATAATGTGACAATAAGTGATTTGTGCGTGAGTGTGTGCTTGTGCATACTCAAGTGGGAGAGGACATTGCCACTTGCTTTCATCGTTCGAAGGATAGTCGAGCTGCAAGTTTCTTTTCTTTAGCTTGGCTGTTCTGCTAGGATGCAAAGCTCAAGAGTCAGAAGACAGAGCACATGCAGAATCAAGCTCATCAGCATGTCGGCAGCCGGCAGCTGAGGGTGGCCTCTTCGGTTCTATGAAACTGCGGACTGCGGCCTCGGTCTCGCTGAGGCAGCTTCCAGGCCGCCAATGCCTTGCAGTTCCTGAGGCAGGGCGGCAGGGCGGCACAAGGAGGCACAAGGAATCCGTCACGTGCTCTCTTTGGGCCAGGCGCGCGCCCTCCTCCCCGGAGAGCCCAGGCCCTCAGGATTTCGCGGAAAGCCTCCGAGCCCGAGCTTCTGTCCGAGTTCTCGGAGCCGCTTAGGTCGGAAGCCTCGTGGCGTTCGTTTACAGTACGGTGACACGCAGGAGTGGTCCAAGATCCCAGAGAGCCGATTTGATCGGTTGCGGCATGCGAGTTCCTTCATGAATGCCCCGACATATCCTGACATCCTAGGTATACTCCTGATTCAAGCATGGGCTATGGCTATGGCATGGGCTATGGCATGGGAGGCTGCCTCGCAAGCTCAGCGCTAGTGGTGCAGCACTGGTGCAGCGGTGTCATGGCTGTAGAACTTGCCGACGTTTCCGGGGGGACAGCAGCCGCCTCTAGACGTTTCTCTCTCGCCGTCGTGTGCAGATGGCACTCCAGCTACTCCAGCTCCCGGAGGATTCAGCAGGCACGCGCTTTGGACAGTGCACATCTATCACCTATTCAGTCTATTCTGATTTGTTTGTTGCCTGGGTGCAAGGGAGGAGGGGTTGTCCAGGTGTTCTCGGCAAGTCTCAAGCCCCGCAGGCAGGGAAGCTTCCAGATGGGCCAAACTTTTACAGGCAGGGACTCTCACCGTAGGGAGCGATGGGCACTTCGAAGCTTCCGGGACCGCCTTCGACTCGCAGATGGCTCTGCCGCGAGCCCCGGCGGTCCTCGGCCGCTGGTCCTGCAAAGTCGTGTTAGTAGCGATGGCGACACTTTTGGGGGTCTCGCCGTGTCTCCTCCCCGCGAGGTTCCTGACGTCCCAGGGCTCGATGAACTTCTCCGGAGGCCTCGGCTTTGGGCTTTGGCATTGGGCCCTTCACCGAGCCTTCAATGAGCCAGATGCATCACCCCAGCGGTCAATGACGCAGAGCTTCAGCAGGATCAGCGCTCAGAACGGCTGTGACTTGAAAGGGGCTGGAGCTATGCGGAGTGTTTCGCAGGCAGGGTACGGCCAGCATGGCTGGTTTCGGCATGCGCTCTTCAGGCTGGTGCTGACGCTGATGCTTGTCAGTACTTGTATGTGCCAGCCAGTGAATCAGCAGGGAGTCCCATGATGGGCAGCCCCATGGTGGGCAGCCCCATGGTGGGCAGCCCCACAATGGGTGGCAACTCGAGGCGATCCGCCTGCGAACCGCAGAGAATCGCACGGAGCCAGACGGGCCCAGGCAAGGCACGCCTCCGCTAGTCCATGCCCTTGGAATGCCGGGATCAGGCTTGGGGCCCAAGACGTCTCATGAATGCTGGGCAGCATTGCATGACATGAGGTGTTGGATTTACCGGCAGGCCAAGAGACTCAGATTCCGATGGTCTTAAAGGGCTGGAAAGTGGAAGAACCGAGAAGCCGATGCCTTGATAGCTCAGGCCAGGTGCTCTCGTCGCCGCGGGGCCCGCGGGCAGCATGGCTGGCCCGTCCGCCGGTCTTCCGGCAAGGCATGGCCATAAATCGGCTCTGCCTGCGGATCTTGGCGGCTCCTCGTGCTTTCGGCCTTTCAGGGGGATGACCAATGCTACAGGCCACTTGTGCGCATCAACCGCCGCGCACAGAGAGACTGCCCGTACCGGAAACAGGCCCGCAGCTCTTTGGACAGAGGCGCCAGCTTCGATTGGAACCCGCACAAGAGGGGAAGAGTGTCCTCGTGGGCGTTCGCCTTGTTGTGCTCTAGACACAAACTGTGGAAGGCAGGGCACACCACCAGGCGCCCCTGCGGCTTTTGCGGCGCTTGCTAGAGACCAAGAGGCCTGGGGCGTGGCGGCATCGCTTGGCTGTGGTCAGGCATGCCGAAGGAGTCGCTGGCTGGGCCAAGGCATTGTCTAGTCTAGTCTTCCAGCTTTCAGCCCAGATCAGGCTAGTGCTTTCGAGTCCCTTTTCCCTGGAGGATGGCGTCGACATCCTCGGGGCTTGTAGGCTCGAGGATGCTTCAAGTCGAGCCGACTCTGGCAGAACAGCAGCGCAGGTGAGTCCATGGGCGTCGTAAGGTTCGAGGCGGTGCCAGGCATGCACAGCACTCCTCTGGCCCAAGGCAGGCCAAGTCCAAGTTCCAGGGGTCCAGAGCAATGCCGAGCAATGCACAGGAACTGGGAGCTCGAGCCTCTCCGTGTCAGGCCTGTCAGGCCCGCTACATCGCAGCATGCTGCGTTGTTCTGCGCTGTTCTGCGCTATGCTGCTCGTGGTCTGGTTGTAGTCCGGGCTTCCACAGAGGCCCCGCGAGCCCCACAAGCGAGAGCGGCTTGGGCTTGGGAGCGGACGGCGCCGCCATGTCCACTGCAGCTGCAGGCCTGCGCCTCTTGTTCTGGTAGGGGATGATGCCGATGAAAGGGTTCAGTTCCTGACGATAGCGATTTTTTCCATGACGAGGATGACGAGGATGATGCTGACGATGAGGATGAGGATGGTGAAGGCGAGCGTAGTGGCGAGAGCGAGAATTGCGGCGAAGAGAAGGATAACGAGGACAGCAACGATGCAGACAGGGATGACATTTGCTGGGAGTGCTGGTGGTGGTGGCAGTGCTGCTGACCCTAGCGAAGGTCGTCGATTTGCATGCTTGTGTTGGTGATTGTTGGGCTGATTGTTGCCGTCGGTTCGCATGATCCCTCGTAGTTGCGAAAGTGTCACCAGAATGAGAAGCAGTTTCAAGCTGCTCCTTGAACCATACACCAAGATACGCCATTGCTTGGTCGCAGGCAGTGCTGGACCCGGGGCCGGGCCCCCTTTATGTTGGCACCAATGTGAGTTTGAATGCGCGTCAGGACGTTTGACAACAAGTGCCAATGCACACGAATGTTAGCTCTATTCGTTTGCGAGTTGGATTTTAGGGTTCATGGACTGTCGGCCCAGAACGAACTTCAGTTCTTGTGCTGGACTTTTCAATATGAGGGGGAAGGGGTAGTCCTAGCCATATGCAACTGCTACATTAGTAATATCAACGACAGCAATACTGCTGGAGTAGCAACGTGGCAGAGCTTCCGATCCAGGCCTTTCCTCTGCGGTTGCCTCCAGGCAGTTTCGATGCTTGAATGTGTGTAGACAGGGTCGAGCAAAGACCATTGCCCTGAGCCAAAAGCGCAAGAGGTGCAGCAGACGATATTCGAAGCTCGTCTTCAATGGCACTGTCCGCCGACGGCAGGTAGGTGAGTGCAGTGATGGGACACACTCGCACGTATCCTGAAGCTCTAACCGTCACTTCGGAGCGGACAGAAGCAGGTTTTTCGCAAAGCTCCATGGATCGTGTTGCAAGCTCTTCCTTATCTCTTCGTGGCGAACAGGCATCCGGCCTTCCTTCACGCCAACTCGGCATCAATGTCGCCAAGCTCGTTTAGGCTACATCATGTTGGCCTGGCGAAGTCCTCAATTTTGCACGAGTGCATAAGAGGTCGCCGTCACCACGTGTACTGTTTTACATCCTGCCCAGGCTTCGGGCGGTAGCTCTCCAACCGTGCCTCGGCAAGTGACAGGGAGGCGGACCGCAGGCTCCGTTCGAAGCTTGTTTGCTTCAGGATGCTCCGCTTGAGCTGATTCCGCAGGACCTTGCTGCAATAAGGGATGGTCA